GTGAAGGAGGTTCCAGGACAGTCCCTCGGCGGGCGAGCTGGCCATTTGGATCCCAGCTTTCACTTGCAGACACTGTGACCCGGCCAAGCCACTCCTCTCTCTCAGCCTCGGTTTCCCTTGGTGTCCTAAAGCCTGTCATCGAATCCTTTAAATGAACTGCGGCTTGTGTGGGAAGGGTCCCCACGGGGGCCATGGCTCATCAGGCCTGAGTTCCTGCTCTCCCTTTGGAAAGGCTTTTGTGCAGGGTTGTTGGGAGAAGTCTGTGCGTTGATCTTCATACCTTGGTAAGACTTCCTGTAACACAGCTGAGCACAAGTGGCTGTTAAGTCCAGGCTGCTGTGGCACTGCTCATTCAGTCACATTTGGGGGCACCTCTGGGAGCCGGGCTTGGGCTACGCTGGAGCCCTAGCGTGAGGTGAGCCACCCTGTCCTCCTCTCTTGGTTGCCTGGCTGTGAACCCTTCTCCGCCACTTCAGCCCTGTGGTGTTAAGGGGCAACACCGGCTCCAAGTAGACCAGGCCCCCTCCAGCCCAGGGCTCAGAATGGATATGGGGACAGGGTCCCTCTGGTTCCAGTAACTGCTAGGGCCTGCCCCCTTGCCTTAGACTGAGAGAACCTCAGGCCTGAGTCCATGCCCCCAGGCCAGGCCTTGTCATCCCAGAAGCCTTTCCAGACAGGATGGGCAGCCTCCCTGCCTTTTAAGGACAGGCTCTGTCTCCCCAGGGGCCCTGGAGCCACAGGGCAGCTGCATTCTTCTCCCCTCCCCCGGGACCCCAGCTGGGCCAGGAGCAAACGCTGGTCTTCGCAGCAGCCAGTTCCCAGGCCAGTAGCGCGAGGCGGGGCCTGGGGGAGTTGGCTCTGTTCGGTGTCCCGGGCGGGGCACTGTCCTGTTCTGGCCCTGCCGCAGGATTCCCAGGAGGTCGGCGCCCTTTGCCCGCCTGTGCGCCAGGGCCCTGGGGCAGGTTTTCAGCGCAGCCTCCTGGACACGCCCAGCCGTGACAGGCCAGAAGCGCGGTTGGATGGCTGGCATGTTGTGACCCGACTCTGGCGTCCACAGGTCCTGCCAGCAGCCCTGGGGTGGGCGCCTTCTCTGTGAAGTGAAGACCAGCTTCATCCAGGAGTTCTGCCCCCCGCCCCCCGACCTGGCTGTGGCAGTGGGAAGTGGCCTGGAACCACGCAGCTCATGGGCGGGAGAATGCGTCGGGAGACTATGTACTTGGGAGTCCTGCGCAGCAGGGTCTACCACCCACGCCCCAGGCACCGTCTTCTCCCTTCCTTCCACTTCAGACTTTCAGACTTCAGGATATTAAGGGCTTTTTTTTTTTTTTTTTTGAGACATCCCAGCATTTGGGTAGAAGGCATTTGTCCCATTTTGCAGACAGGGAAAACTGAGGCATGGAGAAGGTAAAGAATTTGAGTAGTCAGAGGAAAGAAACAATGGCCTGGGAAGTCCCTAACGTGGCACCCCAAATGTCAGGAGTGTTGTCTGCCCTGGAAAGGCCAGCCTCGCTAACAGCATATGCATCCGTCCTCAGGCTCGTGCACAGCCGTTCCCTGCCCCTACAGCGGTGTTTGGCAATGCAGCAACCGAGAGAAGGGGACTAGAACTGTTGCCAGTGGCTGACGGTGTCACCAGCATTCACTCCTACTGCCCTCCCCAGTGTCTCCCCCACATTCTCACTTGATCCTTACAGCAACCCTCTGAGGAAGAGCTGTCTTCCCCCCCGCTTATGGATGGGGGAGCCGAGGCCTGGAAAGCTGAATGACTTAAAACTCGAGGTTGCGTGTTTTATAAGGAATGGAGACTAGGTTACAGTTGGGCACCCTGACGCTAGGCCCTCCTGCCTGTTCCCACCTCTAGGGGCGTGGGTGTGTGCGCATGCGCGTGTGCACCCCGGGGCTCACTCCGCTTGCCTGCTTGCGTGCACTGGCTTCTCAGCCTGTTACCCTATCAGCCCCCTAGCAGTGCAGGCATTTCCTCCACAGCATGTTGAAGAGGGTCTCCCAGTTCCTGCTTGCACATCTCCAGAGATGGGGTACCCACTCCCTCTACTCTAAAACCGAACTGGCCCGGCCCATCTGGGGACAGCTGTAACTGAACTGTAATTGCGCTCTGCAGGCCCAGCCCTGCCCCCGGGGACCTGCGGGGCAGCTCGCTCTGCCCCTCTGAGATTGGGAGGGCAACCCTGAGCCTCCTACTTGCCAGGCTATACAACCCCACTCTCAGCTCCCCCCGCCCGTAGCTGGGCACATCCTCCCCATCTCACATAGGGCTCTTTGATAATTGCAGGTTTTGTTTTGGGGTCTCCTCCCTCCTTGAAGTAATGGGGAATTTGCTAAACTTCTGTGTCACTAACCTTTTAAGAGGAAAAAAGGATGAGTTAAAAAAACTGCTCGTGGGTTGGCTAGGAGGCTGTTGGATAAGGCTGTGGCCCAGGAGCTGGGACAATGTGCCGTTGTTCCTGCTCCCGGCCCTCACAATGGGCTGCTGTTGGGACCTGGCTGCCTCTCCAGCAGCAGCTCTGCCGCTGCCCTTGCGGTGCTGCGCCCATGTTTCCTGGGCTCCTGGGCAGGGGCTGCCCCGCCCCAGCCAGTCCCTCTGGCTCTTCCTCCCAGACCTGGAATGAGTGGGCCAGTGAGCAGGTCCGTGGGCTGTGGGCCCTTCTCTGCCTGTCGCCCGTGGGGGAGGTGGAAAGATGAGCCTTGCGCTGATGGCGTTAGCCTTGGACTCTGCTGAATGGGGTTCAGATCACACTCAGTCGCTTGCTACCTGTGCGGTCTTGGGCAAGCCACCTGGCCTTTCGGAGGGGTGGAACCGCAGTCCTGACGGGCTGTTGTGAGAATTAGGCGAGGAGACAGGTGGGAAAGTGGGGCTCAGCCGCACGGCCTGGGTGTGAGCTCCTCACTAGGGCTCGTTTCCGAGACAGGAGCAGTGTGGTGGTGGAGGTCTTCGGCCCAGGCTTTGAAAACGGAGAAAGAAGGGTTTTTTAAGGCAGGGAGCATCGGGGGAAGGTAATGCGGGTTCAGAAAGGTGTGGGCAGGGACTGCAGAGGGGGAGGCAGGCAGTTCATGGCGGTCAGGGACCGGCTGGGGAGAGGGGCATCTTGCCAGAGTGTGGTTTGAGCGGAGAGGGAGAGGGGTGTTTCAGGGAGGGTTCACACCCCGTGGAAGCAGGTGACTTCATTATCTGTAGGCCTTGAGGGGAGAGGGACAGATAGGAGCGCCAAGGTGGGCCAAGGGGCCGGTCTAGGGGAGGGTGCTGCAGTGGTCTAGACAGGAAACAGGGCGCTGAGGAGCAGAGGCGTCCCAGCTGCGATGCCGGGCGGGGGCCTCACCGAGAAGTGCCACGCATGGGCCCTGTGGAGGTTTGGGCTGGTTCCAGCCGGATTTCAGCCCTCTCAGAGCCTGTGCCGGGTCTGTCCATTCCCCTGGAGCTCTCCCAAGTCCCACCTGAGGGCACAATACGGCACAAGTGACCTGAGCGCTGCTGTGTGCCAGCCTCGTGCCAGGCATGGGCGAGCAGGTGCAGGGAACCGGACTGGGTCTCTTGGGTTGGCTGTGGCGTCCCCAAGGCCTGGGGTCCCGGTTTCAGCTCTAGCTCCAGTGCGGTGCCTAGCAGTGAACTCCCTGTTGGGGTGGGCTGTTGCCATGGTGATGTGGATTTTGGGGGTGGAGGATGGCCTCTGTCAACCTGTGAGCCTCTCTGGGCAGGGCCCATCAGCTCATCTCTGGATTCCTGAGTCCGCACTTGGTAGCCTCAGCCTCCCTTACCCCGACTGGTCCTGGAAGCAGGTTACAGGTTACATGTCCTGCGGGGACATGTGCGGTGACCGTGCTGGGCCTCAATGACATGAGGTAGGGCCTGTGTTTGAGGAGGCAGGGGGAGAGAGATGGATTGAGCCTGGACTGGTAGAGGCTGAGAGCTGGAAGACAGAGCGGTTGGGGAAGGAGTCTGGGTGACCCAAGCCCAGGGTGGATCCCGAGCCAGTTCTGGGGGCCTGGGCCATGGACACGAGCAGGGGCAGGGCCTGCTGCGCTTCCACGCCAGAGGCGGTCTTGGCAGGCCTGGCAGGTTCGCAGGCTTTTCCTGCGTCCCAGCTGGGGGAGGGGCTCTGGTGGGCACCGCCCTATGCTTTGGGCTCTGCAAAGGGCCTTGCATCCCACTGAGGTAGATTCTCCCAAGCACTGGTGCAGGTGCCTCTGAGGCCCTTCCCAAAAGCCGAGGCTCAGAGAAGGGGCAGTGGCTTGTCCAGGGCCACGTAGCAGGTGAGCAGTGAGGCTGGGTCTGTCGGCCAGTCCAGGTCCAGGCTCCATCTGGGCACCATGTGGCATCTGCTCCGTCTGCTATTTGTGTTGTGTTGGACCCACTAACCCTGGCCTGGGCCCCAAGCCCCGGCGTGTGGGCCCTGTCTGAGTGCTGGCATCTGGGGAACTATGCAGACAGCTGCATTCCTTCCTCCTTGAGCCCCACTGCCTCCACCTGTAAAATGGACCCGTGAGGTTCCCATGGCCCTCCTGCCTCAAGTCGGGTCGGGGTGAAGCAGGGCAGCGTATGAGAAAGAGCACGGTTGGCAGTACCTTTCTGGACGAATGTGTGACTGCTCTAGTCTCGGATGGGGACCAGGGCTCGGGGGTGGTGTGGGGAAGGCCGCCTGGGTAAGCTCGGCTCCTCTCCTCTGGGTCCCTGAGTCTGCTGAGGAGCCTGGCCCGACCCTGCCCTGCACCCGCTGCTGACTTTCAGCCCCTGAGTGGTGGCAGCCTCCTCCTCAGCCACGTGCTCCCCTAGAGGCTGAACCGATAGTGGGTCTCTGTGACTCCAGCCCAGAAATGCCCCCTTCCCTCAAGTCTGCCTGAAGAGGACGGGGACTGAGGGGTTGACGGGAGTGGCTGCCTCCTACTATGGGGCTGGGCAGGCTTCTGGAGGAGAGGGGAAGAGAGGGGATGGGGCAGGGAGGGGCGTGGCAGGTCCCGCCTGACACGCCTGCTGCTCTCCCCCGCAGGTCCCATCTGATGCCGAGGCTGAAGGAGTCTCGCTCCCACGAGTCCCTGCTCAGCCCCAGCAGCGCGGTGGAGGCGCTGGACCTCAGCATGGAGGAGGAGGTGGTCATCAAGCCCGTGCACAGCAGCATCCTGGGCCAGGACTACTGCTTCGAGGTGGGTCCCGCCCGGGGCGGGTGTGCGCTGGTGGCGTCTCCCACCAGGCCAGGTCTCCAGCCACCCTCCTCGAGTGCTCGGTGGCCTTAGCCTTAAGACAGAGGCTGGAATCTGGTCATAGCTTCTGGTTCCCAAGAGACCAGGTAGAGCTGGGGATGGGAGCGTTGTTCCTTCTCTGTGGGCTCCATGGAAATAACCAGCCCGGGTCCCTGTGCTCGCGAGGGCAAAAGGCCCCAGCGGTCAGCAGTGAAAGGGTGTAAAAGCCCATGTAGAACTGTTTAAGCCCCAAGGCCTGTGCCTGAAGCTTGCTTACCAAATGCAGTGTGGGGTGGTGGGGAGCACCCCTTTTCTGGGCCGGTCTCCCCCCTCTATACAGCAGTCAGAACATTTTCTGCCCTCGCATTCTGTGAGCCAAGCTTTAAGAGCAAGCAGAGGGCAGCGGCCCAGCCTGGCAGGGCTCTCTACCTGAGGCTCACCTGTCCAGTCCCTCACGGTAGATGGGGAATCTGAGGCCCAGAGAGGGCAAATGTCAGGGGGAGGTCACACAACAAGCCTGTGGCCAAGCCAGGACCGGGGTAATGAAGGTCGTGGGTGTTACCGGGAGTTCCCGATTGCTTCCCTCATTAGATTCTCTTCCCACCTCACCTGCTACGCCCACCCGCAAGGCGCTTACATAATTAGGGGTGCTCTCTGGTAGAGGAATGAGCCCAGGAATGAAAACCAGCCCCTTGGGGGTGATTGTGGCAGCCTGGCCCCAGGAGGAAGACTAGAATGTGTGTGGCATCTGCCCTAAGCCCGGGCCCGCTGTTGCTGGTTCAAGACTCCTGGCCCGGCGAGGCTCCATCTGGGCTCTGACCTCTTTGCCGGGGATGGCTGAAGACGGTGCCTGGACACTGGTCCACAGCAGGGTGTGCTGTGGCTTGTGCCTCCCTCTCATGGCTGGATAAGGACTCTGGCCAACCCCCCATAAAGCCCTTGGCATGGTGCCCAGGACAGCGGGGCAGAGTGGGAACAGCTGAGGCTGGGCTCCCTCGCTGGAGGGGCTCGAAGGGTGAGCAGGAGGCCGACAGCGAGGGGTGGGCGAGGGCTTCCGGCCGGGGGACCCCAGGGCGCAGCACACCCACACAGCCCACTCTTCATTTCTCCCATCTGGCCCCCAAAATGTTAAGTTTCTCTGACCATCATTGTTGTCACTGTCACTTGGCCAAAGAGAACCATCAGCCAGTGTCAGCTGAGGTCTGAAGTGATCCCTGTACCCACCTGTGGTGGTGTCCTTGGTACCTGTGGCTCCACCTGAAGAGGGAAGCCCAGGTTAAGCGTTGCCCCCTGACCTGGGCAGGCACTCCATGTTTTTTCTGTTCCTGTCTCAGGAGAATGAAGTTGGAGTCAGAAAGTTACTTTCCTATGGACAGAGGTGCTGAGGAAGGGGCGGGGGGCCAGGAGCAGGAGCCAGGTGGTGCAGGGCTGGGCACCTTCCTGTCACTGATTTGCCGTGGGACGCTGGTCTCGCTGCACCTGTGAAACAGAGGGGTCGCTCTGAGCCTTGTCCTGCCTCCTCTCTGGGGTTGTGCTGCAGACCTGCTTGGCCAGAAGCCCCCCAAGTCCCAGAGGTCCTCTCTTCTGCCCAGCCTCCCTCCTTTCCCCTTCCTCGTGACACTCTTGTTTGTCCTCCACAGGTGACAACGTCATCAGGAAGCAAGTGCTTCTCCTGCCGGTCAGCAGCTGAGCGAGATAAGTGGATGGAGAACTTGCGGCGAGCAGTGCACCCCAACAAGGTAGGCTGTGTCCCCGCCCCCGCTTCCGCCCATGAAAGCCTCGGGGGTGTTGAGGTTAGGCCTGCAGCAGAGCGCAGGCTCTGACATCAGGGAGCAGCGTGGGGATCCTGGTGTGAGCAGGGCTGGGGTGGGGGAGTCTGCCTGGGGACAGGGCCTGTGTGGGCTGTGGGTTTGGGCCCGGGTATGGGTTCAGGTTGGCTGGGCTGATGCGGGTGCCGGTGGCCTCTGCCCGCAAAGTTACACAGCGGAGGCTGGGCCAGAGCCCTGAGGAGGGGGCTGTTAGGGAGTTGGGTACTGGTGTCCTGCCTGGACCTCTTGTCCCTCCTTCTCTGGCCGATTCCTGCTCACCTATCCAATTCTAGCATAGACATCTGTCCCGTCCCTCAGGGGAGCGCCACTGGCCCGGGCTGCTCCGTGTTCCCACGGCCCAGGCTTCTCCCGTCAGGTTTGGGAGGCCCCAGCTGTAATCACCTGCCTCCATGCCTGTCACCCTGGCTGACTCGAGGGCTTGGGCAGAGGCCTGGTCACCATGACATCACTATGGAAGGGACCTTAGCAATGGTCGCTTCTTAGGCGACTTTACAGACCAGCAAACTAGAGGGGCTAATAAATAGCACAATGGCCTGCTCTGTGCCAAGCACTGTGCTGACCTCTTACTTGATCTCTCATTATGTATTCCTATTTTCTTGAAAGGGGAACTGAATCTTAGATTAACTTACTTGCCCAAGGTCAGTGAGCTAGTTTGAGACAGAATAGAGATATGGCCCCTTGTCCGTCAGACTCCAGAGCTGCCGCTGGCCCACCCCCCATCCTGTTGGTTCCTGGGCCCTCCTGGATCTGAGAGCTCTCCCCAGCTGGGGGTTGGGGGGTGGGCAAGTGGACAGCCCCTCGGTGACCAGGATTCCCCTGTGCACGTGCAGGACAACAGCCGGCGTGTGGAGCACATCCTGAAGCTGTGGGTGATCGAGGCCAAGGACCTGCCGGCCAAGAAGAAGTACCTGTGCGAGCTGTGCCTGGACGATGTGCTCTACGCCCGCACCACGGGCAAGCTCAAGACGGACAATGTCTTCTGGGGCGAGCACTTCGAGTTCCACAACCTGCCACCCCTGCGCACCGTCACCGTCCACCTGTACCGGGAGACGGACAAGAAGAAGAAGAAGGAGCGCAACAGCTACCTGGGCCTGGTGAGCCTGCCCGCCGCCTCCGTGGCCGGGCGGCAGTTCGTGGAAAAGTGGTACCCAGTGGTGACGCCCAACCCCAAGGGCAGCAAGAGCCCCGGACCCATGATCCGCATCAAGGCGCGCTACCAGACCATCACCATCCTGCCCATGGAGATGTACAAGGAGTTCGCCGAGCACATCACCAACCACTACCTGGGGCTCTGCACAGCCCTCGAGCCCATCCTCAGTGCCAAGACCAAGGAGGAGATGGCGTCGGCCCTGGTGCACATCCTGCAGAGCACGGGCAAAGTGAAGGTGCGTGTGTGGGCCCGGGCGGGCCACCCCCTGTCCTGCAGTCGTGTGGAATGGCCTGGGACGCACTGGATTACCAGCTCTCCCCCATGTCTGCATCCTGGGTTTCAGCCCTGTCAAGGGCACTGATCACGGCCAGGTGGGCCCCCCAGACCCAGGGGTTGTGTCATGGAGGAGGGGCTTGCTGCTCCTGCCCCTGATCGCTGAGGCAGGTATGGAGCCAATGGGCAGCACAGCAGCTTGTAAGGAGGGGGTGGGTTCTAGGGACCCCCTCTACCCACAAGAGGGCTGGTCCCTGAGGCTCGAGGGCTAGCCTTCTCCAGCACTGGGGTCCCAGTGACCCAGCCACACATGTCCAGTGAGGTGTTGCATTCAGTTGACATCCCTATCTGGTGGCCGCCAGGGTATTGTTATAGCCCCTCACTCTCACACCCAGACACCCAGATTCAGGCTCCGGGCCCACCCCCTCCCCCCGTGGCCTTCCATGGGGCAGGGGAGCAGTAGGCGGAAGACGGAAGTAGCTCATGCTGCTGAGGTGCTGTGCATGTGAGCTCCCTCTCGTGCAAAGAACTTCGGGGCTAGTGAGGTGTTCTTGGTGAGGGGTCCAGCATCTGACATGGGCCCTGAAGTCTGGAAGTGAAGGCCGTGTGACTTTGCTGTCCTCCCAGGCTCCGCTGTCCTGGGCTGTGACTTTTCAGGGTATCTATCCTAGGACTCCAAGGGCCCCCCCTGCCATCCCCTCTCTGCTCAGTGCAGCAGGGGGAACGGGACCTGGGATGGAAGCAGGAGACTTGGGCCAGACCTGGCCCAGGGAGCTGTGTGGCTTTGGACAGGTCACTTTCCTGTTCTGTGCCTGTACCCTCCCGGGGCCCTAGCTCTAAGGAGAGCTCTTCCTCATCCCAGCCTGGGCCGAGCACCCCCTCCAGGGGTTCAGGGAGGCCCGTGCATGCCAGTTAGAGCCTGGTGGAGCCTGGGTCCTGCCTCTGTGTGTTTAGAAAAGGAGACCCTTCAGGTCATCCGTAGGTCAGGAAGGGCTCCTCAGGGTATATGGTCCCCAGAGGGGCCAGCGGCAGCTTCCTCAGCCCCTTCTGTCCCTCCTTTGGCCGGCAGGGTCTCCCGGGCCTCAAGCTATATTTCAAGGGCCACTTGTGATGTCGGAGGGAATCAAAGCCATACGCTCTGGGAGCCCTGGCCCATGCTGGCCACCTTGTAACTTCATTACCGGGTGGTCCCGGCCCTGACTTCCATCTGGCTCCCTACCTATCTTCCTCCCCTCCCCCAAATCACACGGTTGGCTGTGGGGGAGCAGAGGAGGGGCTCTGAAGGGAGGGAGCCTCTCCCCCACCCCCTCTGGGCCGTTGCAGCAGGTCACGCCATAGGCTCTGCACTGAGACAGGAAGGTGTTGGCTCAGGCTCCTTCCTGGGGTCGTCCCATGACCCTGTCTGTGGGATCAACAGGCTCATCAGCTTAGCAATGACCCTCCAAGGAAGGTGGGCTCCCAAGCAGTGAGGAGCTGCTGCGCGCGTTTGCCAGGTGGGCAGTGATGCTGCGCCTTCCGGGGCAGCCGGACAGCCTCCGCCCCCCTTGTCCTGCTCTGAGGGACCACACAGGACAAATCTGTGCCTGGTGGGAGACCCCGTCAGAGAAACGGGTAGATAGCGGCAGCTGCTTATATGAGGGAGAGAGGGTGGCCTGTCTGTCCTCTTTGGCACTGATGGTGTGGTTGGGGGCATTCTCTGGCCCCCCGCCAGGCCTGGTCGGGGCTGAGCAGGGGTTTGAGGCCAGCTGGTCTGGCTGTGACGCGGGAACTCATGTCCCCGTGGCGTGCTCTTGCCCTGGCCTGCCTCCCGGTCTCTGGACGCAGCTCTGACTTCACCAGCACTAGGTGTCTCCCCTCACCAGGCTGCCCTCCGCTCTGTCCCCGGCGGCCCTGGTGGTTGACAGTGGAACCGCCTTGAGAAGCAGGGGCTTCTGGCCGGGGAGCAGGTGTGGATCCCCGGGTCCTACCTGCCAGGCCCGCTTAAGTCTGCTCCCCTCACCGTCTGCCTCCCCAGGACTTCCTGACGGACCTGATGATGTCAGAGGTGGACCGCTGTGGGGACAACGAGCACCTCATCTTCCGGGAAAACACGCTGGCCACCAAGGCCATCGAAGAGTACCTCAAGTTGGTGGGCCAGAAGTACCTGCAGGACGCGCTAGGTAAGGAGGGTTCAGGCCAGCGGTGGGCAGAGGGTGGGACGTGCCCACCAGGTCCTCACTGCCCCTCCTGGCCACAGGTGAGTTCATCAAAGCGCTGTATGAGTCAGACGAGAACTGCGAAGTGGACCCAAGCAAGTGCTCGGCCGCTGACCTCCCTGAGCACCAGGGCAACCTCAAGATGTGCTGCGAACTGGCCTTCTGCAAGATCATCAACTCCTACTGGTCAGTGCTGCCCCCGCACTCCCTCCTGGGGCTCAGCTGTGCAGGGCCTCCCCAGCCCAGCGTCTGACCCGTCCTGTGTCGGGCACCCATGGCCTGCCGGGTGCTGCACTAGGCGTGTGTGTGCAGTTCTCACTCAGACAGCTCAGTGAGGGGGTTCTGTTCCCTGGTGCCTGACTTACAAACAGCCCAGCTGAGGCTTAATAAGGAGATGCCTGTAGCCTCACACACCCTCTGCCTGGCTCTGCAAAGCATTGCTGGGCCACCAGGCCCCCATCCTGGCCATTTTGGGGCTACCAGATACAGGGGAGTGTTCCAGAATATATGCAGGACACGGTCTGTGCGGTGTAGAACATTAGGACACTATGGCAGTCCATTGCACGTGTTTATTAGCAAGTGCCCTATGTGGCTGGCGCTGTTGTAGGTGTTGGGGAGCGAGATGGACAAGGCCCGGCTCGGGTACCCAGATGGGGTGTGTGGTGGCTTAACCTGAGACCCCTCCTCTGTCCGCAGGAGTGTGGTGCTCATGACAGGGGCTTGCGATCGGGCCCTGCAGGGGCTTGTGTGGGTGTCTGGACTGTATAGAACAGAGAAGAAAGGACTGGGCTTTAAGTAGAGCGGGCTGCTGCCAGCCCCCGAGAGAAGGACCAGGGACATGCGGAGTGGATTGTTTAGGTAGGACTTCAGTGAGGGCAGGAATTGGTCCGAGGGCCACGTCCCGCTAGGCTAACACCCTAGACACCTGCTTGTTCCTGAGGCACGTGTGGTGGCTGGCTGACCTTGCGCAGGGAACTTGCTAACAGTGTGGTGTGCACGGCTATCGGGGCAGGGACCTTGCTACCAGCCCTAAGCTCTGGGGTTGTTTTCACACTGGAGAAGCAGCTCAGATTTTCTCCTTGGTCATTGCTCCAGTTGCCGACCTGCGCGCCTCTCCCTCCTCGATCCCCTCCCCAGACCCGCCCCCGCCACCTCCCAGCCACGCCTTACTCCTTTCTTTGGATGCGCTCCTTCCCTTCCTGCTTGAAGACCTTATGCCTGGCTCCCTTCTATGGCCCACCTTCAGACAGTCAGCTCACCTCTCTCTTGGGCACCCTCTGTCACAGCCCTCATCCCATCAGAGTGGGATTGTGCCTGTGTCTGAATCTGTTTCCTGCACATGCTGGGGCACCCCAGGGCAGCTGGATCCACCAGCTCAGGGCTGGGCACTCAAAGGGGCCCTGGAATCGTTCAGCAGAGAGGCCTGTTAGGGGGGTGACAGCCTTGGGAAGGGGGTGGGGGGAGTGGCCAGAGCCAAGGTCGGGGTGCCCTGCTGCGCAGGTCCCTGTGTTCCTGGGCTGCACAGAGTGCTCACCGGGAGCCAGCACGGCCCCTCGGACTGGGTCACTCATGACCCCTGGCACGGGGGATGGAGGGGTGACCTGAGAGCCTTGAACCCTCTGGGAGCACACTTTCCACCTGGGGGCCAGCTGTGTTTTCACACTGCCCCACTCTTCCCAGGGCAGGCGGGTGTGGGACACAGGGAAAGGTGTCGGTGGACAGTGATTTTCCATTTCCTCTTTCGGATATTTGTCAGAGACCCAGAGGCACCTCTCAGCTCTGGATGCCATCGATAGATGTCATCACGCAACGCCTGCCCCTGCCCGTCCTGGGCCAGGCACTGCAAGGACCAGGGCTGCAGGCTGCCTGCCCTCGTCCTCTCTGGCTGTGCTTTTGCACTGCCCCAGTCCCTGCCGAGAGCCCGCTGGGCTGCGGGGCGAGAGCCTTCCAGGTTGATCAGGGCCTCTTGTGGCTTTGGGGTCTCAGCCTTTAGATGGCCTTGTTCTCAGTTTAATGGTGAGGAAATGAAAGGCCAGGGAGGACCAGGTACTTGCTCCAAGCTCACAGAGGTCGTGACAGAGCCAGGCATGGACCAGGTTCGGGGAGCACTGCGTCTGGCCTGCCCTGCCCCAGGGCAGGACGCGTATCTTTTAGGTTGTAAAGCTAGGAAAGCTGCTTAAAGCTTGACAGGGTGGGACCTCCTTATGGCAGGTTGGAGATGCCCAATGGAGAGAGTGCCCCCCACTGGGGGCCAGGGACCCCGCCTGTGCTCACTGGGTCCACTGGGGAAGTGCGTCCCTGTCCAGGAAGAGGGGAGCTATGTCTTCACCCTGTGTTAGAGTGTTCCCATCTTCTCGGTCACCCTGGCCTCTCCCGAAAACCTCTAATTCCTATAACGTTACTGGAGCAAAGGGAGTAAGTCTCCAAAACTACTGATGGGAACCAAGGAGTGGCTGTCTGTTCCCACTGTGTTTTCCTCACTGTCCCCTTGGTCCAGCTGCCTGCCGTTTGGGCAGGAGGGTGAAGCCCTGGAGATGGTGGGAAAGACCCAGGCCCATGCCCTGCCTGCGCTCTCTCAGCTCCCCAGCAGCCCTGTCTGATGGGTGATAGATGAGTGACTGGGTGGCGGATGGTGGCGGACGGTGGAGTGACAGGCAGCGGTCGAGCTCACAGCTACCAGGGCTGGGACTCAGGGTTCCATCAGACCCAGAACCAGGTCCCAGCTCTGCACCTTCCCGTCCTGGCGCCCTGCCTGACCCCCAGGCCACTCTTGCCTGTCCCTACCCAGCGTCTTCCCACGGGAGCTGAAAGAAGTGTTTGCCTCGTGGCGGCAGGAGTGCAGCAGCCGCGGGCGGCCCGACATCAGCGAGCGGCTCATCAGCGCCTCCCTGTTTCTGCGCTTCCTCTGCCCCGCCATCATGTCGCCCTCGCTCTTCAACCTGCTGCAGGAGTACCCGGACGACCGCACGGCCCGCACCCTCACCCTCATCGCCAAGGTCACCCAGAACCTGGCCAACTTCGCCAAGTGAGTGCCGCGTCCCCGGCGGGCAGGGCTGGGACGCGGCTGGAGGCCGTGGGCCCTGCTTTTGTCCCTGTCACACTCAGTCTTCCCCCTCCCCCTGCTTCAAAATAAGATCTCTTCCACGCCCCGGCCCCCTTACCAAAAGCGCATGCCATTTTGGTATGTTTCCTTAATTTTCAAAGGTGAGAAGATATTTTCTTCCTTCAGCTTTTTTGAATTAACATTTTGTCATAAGGATTCTCCCATGTGCTTAAAATTTGTAAGCCTCATTTTGAGGTGAATGACTAATATGCCTTCAAGGGAGGAGGGCCCATACTTCCTTAGCCTGTCCCCTGTGGCTGGGCACTCAGGCTGTTTCAGACTGTCCTTGCTGAATGCCGTCAAGGATGTCCTTGCTCATAAAGCACGTCAGTGTTTGGGACTGTACCTTCGATCGAGGGGGTGGAAACGGAAGGGCTGGGTCATCTAGTCCCCCGTTCTGGGGCCACCTCTGTGTCGGGCTCTGAGTCACGCCTGGTCACAGCCCTGCCGAGCCAGTACATCAGCGGTGGGGGTTGGGGGGGAGGAAGAGTGAGCAGCGAGAGGCAATAGAGATGCACGTGGTCTCTCAGGAGGGCCTGAGCTTGTTGGGACAGGCGACTGGGGGGCTTCCCCAAACGTGTGCTCCCAGCTGCATGTCAAGAGTAAAGGCAGGGCAGCCCCCAGGTGGGCCATACGCTGTAGGGACAAGGCACCATGGCATCCCTGAGTCATTCAGGTCCAGGAGGACAGGAGGGACTCGAAGGCCAGACAGGGTGGTGGGAGCCACCAGGGGCTTTAAGCAAGGGGAGGATGGCGCTCATCTACCCTTAGTCCTAGAGAGCCAGCTTGACAGCAGCGAGGCAGGGAGAGTGGAGAGAGCAGGGCCTGCACCCGGGAACCAGGAGAGATTAGCTGTGGTTCCAGCTAATCTCGGGGAGTAGAAGTCTTGTGGGGTGAGGAGGCGATGCAGGACGCAGGGCTGCAAGGTCAAGGGGTGGTGAGGAGATAAGGCCAGCCGGCCGTGCCGGCCATGGCAGGGAGAGGGCGGAGATGACCCAGCAGGCTTCTGGCTCAGCTGTCTGGTGGACGGTGGTGTCCTCACTTGGGATAGGGGCGTGGGAGGAGGGCATGGGTTTGGGGTGATGGCCCTGACTTCAGGCTTGTCCGGTCTGGGTGTGCGAGGGGAGGAGCTGTGGACATGCATGTCTGTGGACTCAGCAGAGAGACCTGGCTGAGTGCAGACTGAGAATCACCTGCCCACCAGGTCGTTGAAACTTGGAGGCAAGAGGAAGGCGATTGTGACCAGCAGTTAGAGGGGAGTGAGGACCATAGGACATTCAGGTCCTTTGAGAAAAGTTCCGGAAAAGGGTCCCTGGGCTTGCCCATGAGGAAGGAGTGCCCCGAGTCCTAGTAGATTGGTTGGCTGGTGGAATTAGTGGTGTGGGAACTGGCCACAGTGGGCGAGGAGTAGGAGGAGCTGAGGAGGCGGGGGTGTCTCCGAGAAGGGGGGTTCCTGGGTGGGGCCAGGCTTTCCCGGGGACCTGCCTGGGACCTGGGCCCCTCACCCTGTCTGCTCTCTTCCCAGGTTTGGCAGCAAAGAGGAGTACATGTCGTTCATGAACCAGTTCCTGGAGCATGAGTGGACCAACATGCAGCGCTTCCTGCTGGAGATCTCCAACCCCGAGACCATCTCCAACACAGCCGGTTTCGAGGGCTACATCGACCTGGGCCGCGAGCTGTCCAGCCTGCACTCGCTGCTCTGGGAGGCCGTCAGCCAGCTGGAGCAGGTGCCTGTCCTCAGGGGGCAGGGGGCCGGGGGCCGGGGGCGGGCAAGGGGTCCTCCTGCGTGGTGCAGATCAGCAGCCCTGCCCGGGTGCTGGAGCCCAAGGTTCCAACCCTGGCCCTGTCGGCGTGCACCAGGGTCTCCGGGCCCATTTCCTTGGTGAGGAGGGCCCCGTTGGCTCGCCAGCCCCGCCGGCCGGGAGCCTACTCTGGGTACTGGGTCTCTGCACACTCAGCGTTGAGTGGGTGGATTGCATGTAGGAGGGTGTGTTCCCTACCTGAGAAATGTGATCAGATTTAGTTCTGTGAAAATGTCCTCATTCTGGGTTTTAAGGCCACTGACAAGGAAAAGACAGAGAGACAAACCTTTCCACAAGTGCCCTGACCATCCGCTGACATGGTTGTTCCCTAGACACCCTTGATATGGCTACAGCCTCCTGGGGTGCACCCTCTCAGGCCCGGGGTTCCACTGCCCCCCTGCCAGCAGCCCCAGTCCACACAGCAAATAGGTTCTCAGCAGTGAGAGCTGGGCCTGCCACAGTCTACTTCCAGAATGCTCGTTGCTTTTTTAAGAGACCACCTTGCAGGAGTCGTTGCTGCTGAAGTAGAGCTGGGAGGCCTTCTGCTCTGGTCCCATTTCCTGGAGGTGACCTCCCAGTGCACTCTGGTGTGCAGCCTTCTAGACGCATCTGTGGTTTGTGTGTTAAGGATACTCACCAGCACAGCGTTCTTTCCTGTTTCGATGGTGTGAAGTGAGAATTGACATGTGCACTTGGTGTGCGTGGACATTTTTCCATAGCAGCGCGTGCTGCTCAGCCACTGTGACCTTTCTTGAGGCCGCAGACGGTCCCATCAAATGACTGTGGTTTATGTTGCCGGCCCCCTGTTGCCAGGCACACAGGTTAGTCTAGGTTGCACCACAAACAGATGCTGTTGCAGTCATTTCTGCTCCTTTATGTCCACTGCCCTTTGGCTGCAAGAGATGCAGGAGGGGAAATGAAAACCCAGGCCACAGCTCTCTTCCTCCTCTGCTGCCAACACCACTCGCTGAGTCCCTGTGCCGGCCACCATCCTTGTATCTGCACAGCGGTCGGCGGTCGGCAGCCGTCACGCTGACAGTGTTGCAGCAAGGATTTGCATTTGAGCTCTTCGTCTTTGAAGTCTTTGCTCCGCTGACAACAACACGAGTCTTCACACTTCCTTCTTGCACAAAGCCCTACCTGGCAGCACGCACCTAGGCCGGTGGGGACAAAGCCCGCTCCCTTCAGCTTGGCCCCGCAGCCCGGAGCCCTCACGTAGCACTAGCAGTCTTAACCACGACGGCGAGGTCCGCATGGGCCCAGGTGTCACCCCCCGCCTGGCTGTCCCTTTGCGAATCGTCTGACAGGCATGTGGTGGTGCCTGCTCTGTGCCAGGACCATCACCAGTGGGGTTCAGGTGTCAAAGGGTCAGGCCCCGGCCCGCCCTGTGGAGTAGATGGTGTGGATGGGTGTGGGAAACTCTGGATTCCACGTGTGCTTTCCTCTCTGGGGAGGCACCATTAGTGGGCGAACTAGGGTCAAAGGCTCACACTAGGTCAGTTTCTCCCTGCGGGCCTTGCACTTCGCTCTTCAGGCCCAGGAGTATCTGGGGAGCCGGTAAATATGTAATTTGCACATTCCTGGCCCTCTGGCCCCCACCCCAGACCTGCTGAGTCTAACCAGTGGGGGAGGGCAGGTCTGCAGGTCTGCCTGGCTCCTCAGGTGCTTTGAACCACAGTGGCTGCAGCTGACTTGGCCTCCCCAGGTGACCCCACCGGGTCACATCTGCCTCTTCCTGTGTCTTTGCAGAGCATCGTCTCCAAACTGGGGCCCCTGCCTCGAATCCTGAGGGATGTCCACACAGCGCTGAGCACCCCAGGCAGTGGGCAGCTCCCAGGGACCAATGACCTGGCCTCCACGCCTGGCTCTGGGAGCAGCAGCCTCTCGGCTGGGCTGCAGAAGATGGTGATTGAGAACGATCTCTCTGGGTAAGGGCTGCCAGGTGGTGCGGGGTGCACATGCAGACAAAGCGCAGGCCACCTGCAGGCTCAGGAGGGCGGGAGGACGCCAACCCAAGTGTTTCTAGAACGAGCTGGGTGAGATGAGAAATGTGTCGTGTAGCCCCTAAGTGGTGAATCTGCGTTTGGGAAAAACCAGGGAAGGCTGCCTGGGTGAGGTGATGCTGTAGTTTTGAGCTTTATAGGAAAATTTCCTAAATGTTGGAAAATGCATTCTGGGTAGAGGACCTGGAGGAAAACATGTTCTGTTAAAGAACAATGACTTGTCCCAAATAACCATTGGGTTATCCAGGTGTGTTAAAAATACCTGTTCTCCTGGTATATCCTAGACCCAGTCAGAATCTCCAGACATGGTTTGCAGGGGCATATGTTTTCAGCAAGAGCTTGAGCAACTACAAGGCTTGAAGGCTGGGAGCTCCAAAAACTAGAGAGTTGAGGCCTGACCCTCACCCTGAGCCCACGGCCCCAGGGCAAGTGCCTTGTAAATAAAATACATGCCCAGTGGAGGGGGAGGCAGATGTCTCAGAATGAGGCTGTTCCTTTGAAGAAGTAGGTGTTTATGTTGGCCCATTTATGCCTCACTCATGCACTGTCCTCCCTGCCTGGGACCAGCTCATGAAGATGAGGCTGGGCCAGCAGAGCTGGGAGTCAGGGCGAAGGTTCTCCTCTGGAGGCCGTGGCAGCGGTAGGCTGTTAGAGGATGCGGGTGTGGAGGTCGAGAACCTGAGGGGTGTGGCGTGCAGGACTGGGGGCTCAGGAAGAGGCCAGATGCCACTCCCCAGGTCCCTCTGAGCCTTGGGTTCATTCTGGACCTGCCAAGTGAGGCAAATCTGAGTTACGACAGGACACGCCTTGGCTGAGAGACGGCCAGGCCCCGTGGGCTTTGGGGGGACCTGACTAGGTGTGCGGCTGGTCTGGGTTTCTCCCGGCTCCACTTGCCGCCCTCATCCAGTCCTTCTCTGCCCACAAGTGCCGTGGGCCCGAGGGCTCACAGCCTGCTGCCCCAGGCCCTGTCAGGGGGCGGGGCTTGGCGTTCCTTCTCCCCACCCCAGGCTAAGCTGACTCTCACTCCCATTCCAGCCCATGTCAGACCCCAGAGTCCTTGCTGCCGCCAGCCCACGCAGAGCCCTCTTCATCCCGCATCCTCTCCTCCAGAGCCCCGCAGCCCCGCCACAGCAAGCCTCCTTCCAAGGGGCCGCCTCCCAGGGAGGGCCCCAGAGGGCACAGAGTGCCACTGCAGGCGCAGACCCTCCCTGCCTGAGTCACGCCTTGAGAATCCTCCTCTGGTTCCTTGTTTTTGGCAGGAACGCCAGCCCCCGCCTGCCAGTCAAGAGGCGTGACAGCAGGAGGCTGGGCAGGGGAAGCTTCAGCAGGTCCCCACTGTAGTTACAGTCTTATTAGGAGCAAGAGGGAAGAGGCAGAGGGAGCCCGTGTGGCTCTGAAGCCGGATTTCTCTGTGCAAGACCTTTGGAGATCAGAGAGCCACTGCGTTGTGGGTTTGGGATTAGCTAAGGGGAACTTTCCAGAACATTCAGGCTTCAGCCCCCATCATCCCAAGATGCAGCTGAGCAGGGAAAGGGCCTGCCAGGCAGCCTGGCCCGGCACCAACAGCACTGGCCCCTAGCGCGAGGTTCTGTGCCGGAGAAGCCACCTCAGCCGCCCAGTCCCCGTGGGGGTGTCTGCCAGGGCCAACTGCCCAGGCTGAGGGGTTTTGCAGCTGGTCCCCGGGACTCTCCGGCTCTTGCTGCCCCGGCACCTCCCCTCCCCACCCCACCTTCCCTCTCCTCCCCCAGTCCCAGCCAAGGCCACCAGGCCCTGCAGATTGGCGGGGGCTCTCGGTTTGGACCCGCCTTGGCCGCATTCACAGCTCTTCTCTTCCCCCTTCTTTCCCTGTGTGTGCTTGTCTCCCTGCAGTCTGATAGATTTCACCCGGTTACCGTCTCCAACCCCCGAAAACAAGGACTTGTTTTTTGTCACAAGGTCCTCCGGGGTCCAGCCCTCACCTGCCCGCAGCTCCAGTTACTCGGAAGCCAACGAGCCTGATCTTCAGATGGCCAACGGCGGCAAGAGCCTGTCCATGGTGGACCTCCAAGACACCCGCACGCTGGACGGGGAGGCAGGCTCCCCAGCGGGCCCCGACGCCCTCGCCGCCGACGGGCAGGCGCCTGCAGCTCAGCTGGTGGCCGGGTGGCCAGCTCGGGCAGCCCCCGTGAGCCTGGCAGGGCTGGCCACCGTGCGACGGGCAGGCCAGACGCCGACCACACCAGGCACCTCCGAGGGCGCACCGGGCCGGCCCCAGCTGTTGGCGCCGCTCTCTTTCCAGAACCCTGTGTACCAGATGGCGGCCGGCCTGCCGTTGTCACCCCGCGGCCTTGGCGACTCGGGCTCTGAGGGCCACAGCTCTCTGAGCTCCCACAGCAACAGTGAGGAGCTGGCGGCTGCTGCCAAGCTGGGGAGTTTCAGCAGCGCCGCCGAGGAGCTCGGGCGTCGGCCAGGGGAGCTGGCGCGGCGACAGATGTCTCTGACTGAAAAGGGCGGGCAGCCCACTGTGCCGCGGCAGAACAGTGCCGGCCCCCAGCGTCGGATCGACCAGCCGCCACCCCCGCCCCCACCGCCGCCCCCTGCGCCTCGTGGCCGGACACCGCCCACCCTGCTGAGCACCCTGCAGTACCCGCGGCCCTCGAGTGGCACCCTGGCATCGGCCTCGCCTGACTGGGCCGGTCCGGGAGCCCGGCTGCGGCAGCAGCCCTCCTCCTCCAAGGGCGACAGCCCCGAGCTGAAGCCTCGTGCGGTGCACAAGCAGGTCAGTGCGCTGGTGGGGGGCGGGCCGTGGGGGGTCAGACCCATGTTCTGCTGCTCCTCCCGGTCATTTCATCCCCACCTGCACCCAGCTGCCATCCCATGCTGAATGATGCCACATGCGCCCCACTGGCCCCCGCCTCCGTCCCATGAACCAGGGACACTGCAGCTCTAGGGTCCCTCTGCCAGTCCCCCCGAGACAGCTGGGGTCAGGGAGAAAGAGGGAGGGGTCAGTCCACCTCCAGTTCTGAGTCTGTGAAAGCCCTGCCCAAGGTCGGAGCTGATCTGTCCCCCACAGGCCCCGTCCCGGCTCTGAGCTGGCCCCCGGAGCCCCGCGACCAGGGTGCATGGGTGTCACCTGCCACCCGGGGTGCACGCAGCACGTGAAACTGACTGTTGTGCTTTGGGCAGAGTGCCCGGTCTCACCTGGGTGGCAGAGAGCAGCTCAGGGGGCCACGTGGCGCTCAACTCTGCCTCAGGCTGCCGACTGGCAGTTGGTGCTTCCTCGGTCAGGGGCTGCCACATCAGTAGGTGCCTGGTCAGCTGAAGGTCCCCTCCCTTGGCTCTGTGACTCACTGGGTACCGCCCCCGCCCCCGCCCCTCCCCTCTGCCTCCCGCCAGACCTCACAGCTGTGTTTCATTGTAGGGCCCTTCACCTGTGAGCCCCAATGCCCTGGACCGCACGGCCGCTTGGCTCTTGACCATGAACGCGCAGTTGTTAGAAGACGAGGGCCTGGGCCCAGATCCCCCCCACAGGGATAGGCTAAGGAGTAAGGAGGAGCTCAGCCAAGCAGAAAAGGTAAAGCTGGACCCTGGCAGCTCGGGACAGGGCGGGGCTGCCTCCCGTGGCCACTGGCAGGATCCTTTTCCCCTGGTCGTGAATGAGGGGACACTGCTCAGTCCTGCAAATGGCCAGTCCACTCCCAACCCCTGGTTCCATGTGAGGACAGCGGTCAGTGGAATCTGGAAGAAGAGCAGCAAGAGGGATTTAGCTTAGACCTGAGGTTTCCCACACGGGCTGCACGTGAGGCTCAGCTGGGACTTGCACTGAATCCAGACTCCTGGACCTGGTCATCGGACCTCTGGGAGGCCCCGTCCCCCAGTGACTGGGCAGTGAGCTTTGGAGAGTCTGGGACTTGAGGGTAGAGGGTGCCAAAGAGTTACATGGAGACCCTTGAGGGGGCCTCCTGCATGAGGAGGTGGAGGCATGGGTCCCCGAGACAGCTGGGAGAGCGCCCCCGGCGGGGCCCCTCCGCTCTGGGCTTGTGCCTGCCTGAGGCCTGGCTCTTCCCCAGTGCCCATCTCCACCACGGCCTGGGGGCAAGGGAGCCAGGGTGAGGGTTAGGGTCAGACTGCTATTGAGATATTTTCTTCCCCTACGGGAAAAATCTGTTCATTCTAAAATGCCCACATCCCACCCTGCCACACGTCTAGCGTTTTGTGGGCAGCGAGATGCCTCTGTCCTCCCCTTCTGCCAGGGGAGGTGGCAGCTGCCCTGGATCCGTGGCTGCTGCTCATCTCCTCCTGGAGGCCAAAGTCCAGGCCTGCCCCTGCAGGACCAGCACAGAGCTCCCGCAGCAGTCCCTCTCCCACTCTCCTCTGGTGCCCTCACCCCTCCTGGCCCCAGGAGAGCCTGTGGCAGCCTCTCAGGCAGAGGCACGGCGATCGGGTGGCAGCTGTCCGTCTCCCTGGCCTCGGGCGAGGTCCGTGTCCATGCCGCATCCCGCCACCCTCCACCACCCCCTTGGCCCACCGCATCCACCTGCTTTCACCATGATTATGTGAAGGGGACCAGGGGACATGGGGCACAGTGCTCCGCGAGCCAGAGTGTGGCTGGGGAGCGAGGAGGGCCAGCCTCCCCCCAGGCTCCCTGTGCGAACCTGGGGCCAGGCTCGGCGCCTCTCTGAGGGTCAGCGCGGCTGGAGTGCCCTCTTTCCTCGTTGTCCCTTGGCTGAACAAGCTGCTGCTTTTCTCACCCTCTGTGCTACTAACTCTCACAGGCAAACCCAGGAGGCCTTTGTTCCCCGAGCTCCCTGGAGACCTGGCCTGACTCTGTCAGGCCCCCCTCACCCCTCTGGCCAGTGAGCAGGAGACCTGGCAGGGGGCCAGGGCCATTTCCCCTGGAGCTAGGCTCCCCTGTGGGTCCAGCTTTGCTTCAGGGATGACTTTGGGGTGGGGTTGGGTCTCTCCAGCTTTGCTGTCTCCTGACTTTGGGACCGTCCTTTAGTGATGACGGATTTGGGCTTGTGTTGCCTGGGACTCCAGAAGAGGCTCCTCCTGCCTCCCCCAGTCATGTGTCCTCATGGCACCCTGGCCCTGAGCCCCCGACTCCGGTGTCCGGCCCGCACAGCCTCCCAGCTTGCTGCTTCTCTTGCTGCCTTACACATCCGCGTCTTCCCCGAAGGCTAAGCATGCCGGGCCGAGTCAGGTCCAGAGCCTCGGGGCCACCTTGCCCTTCACCCCTTTCTCCCCCACTTCCGCCGGCTTCAGGGTCAGATAGAGGCTGAGAGGCCACAATCTTCCCCATCAGTCACCACTCTCCATGTGACTGGGCCCCTTAGCCTTCGGGGCCTCAGTGTCCAGTCCTGCAGAGCCCCTGCCTCCCAGGGCACCGTCGGAACTCCTGGGCATACTCAAAGCATTTTAACCTTTGTTATAAAGGCTAAAAGCCCTAGTTAAACCCCTGCTTCTGAGTCTTCATCCCCTCATATCCACAAGGCCAGGCCGGGGGGGCAGAGCGCAGCGTGGAGAGAGCCCCAGGTCGGGGGCAGACTCTGCGTCTCCTCGCTGTGGGGTGTGAGCTGGGACGGCGACGGCCCTGGGGGCGCACTGGCCTGGGCTGCCTCCCACCTGCGCTCCGGCTCGGGCTCACGAGGCTGTGCTCTCTGTCCTGGGCGCTGTGCCCGTGGCACGCTGCCCTCCTGGCAGGACCTGGCAGTGCTGCAGGACAAGTTACGCATCTCCACCAAAAAGCTGGAGGAGTATGAGACCCTCTTCAAGTGCCAGGAGGAGACGACGCAGAAGCTGGTGCTGGAGTACCAGGCGCGGCTGGAGGAGGGCGAGGAGCGGCTGCGGCGGCAGCAGGAGGACAAGGACATCCAGATGAAGGGCATCATCAGCAGGTGAGGGTGCCCGGCCCCTGCGCCGGCCCCAGCCCCAGCCCCACGCTGCCCGCCAGGGGGCCCCTGGGCAGGCCAGGGGCCCATCAGCTGCAGGATGCGTGGGGTGTGGACAGGACGGGGGAGCGTGTCCCTGGAGGTGGGAGGCAGCCTGGAGCGGGTGCTGGTGAGGGAATGCAGAGCGGGCCTGGCGGAGGTGAGGTCAGCCGGACCAGCTCATCCAGGGCCCCCAGGGGGTCACATTGTCTTGGTCAACACTCCCCGGAGACTTTAGCAGCAGCAGGATAGGGGGGTGGTGCCAGGAACGACAATGAGGACCCAGTTCAGGGCAGGAAAAGTAGGAATGAATGTCAGTTCCTTTCACCGGTGGAAGGTGGGAGGTGAGAGGGAGGCAGGAGACAGAATAATCCCGACTTCTGCCAAGAGCGCCTGGGCGTGTCATGGAGCCGCCGCTGAGGTGGGGACTTTGGAAGAGAAGCAGCCTGGGTGGGGAGGGACGGGATGACGATGCCAGTTCGGAGGTGTTGTGGTTTGAGGTGCCTCTGCAGGAGGATTTCCAGAGGAGGGGCGTTGGCTTGGACACTGGCTCTCCTCTTCCTGGATGGTTTATATCAGATTCTGTGTGGATCCCCACCCCCCTTTCTCTCTCCCTGTGGGTATTTACGGTGGGCGCGTCCCCCTCCTTGTCTGTAGGCAGAGGGTGCTGCCTAGGTGCAGCGTCCAGGCCGACCCAGAGCCCCAGCCCCGGAGTTCACTTTCCTATGACAGCAACACTGGGTACAAGTGGGGCAGTGCGGGTTACAGCGTGTGTGTGCGTGTGGTGCAGGCGCCTGCCTGTCACCTGGGCAGATCTCTCAGGGCGCAGCAGCCGGCATGTTCCCCGGCCTCGCCTCGTGCTTTGCTCACTGCAGACACCCTCCCCAGATTCCTCCTGCTTAGGCTGCCTGTTTTCCTGCTTCTAATTATTGTTTGCTTCATTTACACATGGGTTTTTCCTATGGAAAATGGTTAGCATGAGGACAAGGCCTAGAACCAGGGTCACTAGAAACCACTGCGCACTTGACCGCCAGCTCTGCCCTTGGCTCGCTCTCTTCATGTGCGTGGTCACAAAAACGGAAACACTTTCATCCAAACCACGTCCCCCTCGTTGTGTCTGTTTTCTGAGAAGTGCGTGCTCTCCCAAGTTCAGTGGCTTATTTAACACATCTCTGTCTACCAGCCAATCCTGGTACAGTTCTCCCCTAATGTAAATGTCAGAGCAATGTGGTTGATAGTGCTGCTCAAGTCTTTATATCCTTAACTAGCTTTTCTACTTGTTCTATCGGTTACTGAGAAAAGATATTAAAGTTTTTAATCATAATTATGCATTTGTCCATTTCTCCTTTTATTTCTGTTGGTTTTCGCTTTATGTGCACTGAAACACTCCTCTTAGATGCATACACATGCAGGATTGTTATGTGCTGTTGATGAACTGACCTCTGTACCATTCCTTGGTTCTCATACTGTTCGTTGCTTTGATATCTTTGACGTTAATACAGCTGCCCAAGTTTTCTTCTCATTAGTGTTAGCCTGGTACATCCTTTTCCATCCTTGTACATTTAACCCATGTGTGTCTCTGTGTGAAGTGAGTTTCTTTTACAGACACTTTCCTGTTGGTTCTTGCTTTTTATCTGACAGTTTCTGTCTTTTAATTGGAGAGTTTAGACCACTTACATTTAATGTAATTGTCAATATAATTATGTTGAAACCTATTATCTTGCTATTTGTTTTCTCTTTGTACTGTTTCAGTCCCTTTTTCCTGCCCTCTTTTGTATTGAGTATTTTTTTATGATTTTATCTTTGCTCTTGGTTTATTAGTTAATCTCTTTGTTGTTGCTTTAGGACGGTGGTCAGAAACTTTCTGTAAAGGGGCCGATAATAACAAGCATTTCCCGCGTCGCAGGCCATAGGGCCTCTGCCGCAGCTGTTCAGCCCTGCTGTTGCAGCAGAGCTATCTGCGTGGCGTAGCTATTTGCAGAAACAGGCAGTGGGCCTGGTTGGGCCCTCGCCCCGGCTGTCAGAGCCAGCGCTCTGTCATTATCTCTGTACCTCTGCACTTAGTGTGCCTTTTTTTCTCTGGCTGTTTTTAACTTTTTTATTTATTGCTGATTGCCAACAATTTGATTAGGACTTGCCTTGGTGAGGTTTTCTTCATGCGTGTTGGGTTTGCTGAGCTCTTGGATCTGGGGGTGCGTAGTCGTGCCTTCGAGTCTGTTCCCTGGGACTCCCGCTGCACGTGGGTGAGGCTGTTTTGTGTAGCCCCCTGTCCCACTGATGGTCTGTCGTCTCCTTTTCTCTGTGTTTGAGTTTAGGTAATTTATTGTGTCTTCAAGTTCACTAATCATTTCTTCTTCACTGTCTAGTCTGCTATGAATTCTATTTAGAATCTTTATTTTCATTTCAGATATTGTATATTTACCTCTAGACTTTGTTTGAGTTAAATCCCAAACTTCTTGTTATGCTCATGCATTCCTCTATTTTCTTGAACATGTGGAATGTGTTTATAATAGTTGTTTTAATGTCCTTGCCTACTCATTCTATTATCTGTGACATTTCTAAGACTGTGTGGATCGATTATTTTTCTTCCTGGTTATGGGTTCCAATTTTATACTTCTCAGCTTGGTTGGATGCCAGCTATTGTGAATTTTATGTAAGTGCTGGATGTTTGTGTTCCTTTAAATATTTTGGTCTTTGTCCTGGGACACAGTGAGGTTGCTTGGAATCCCTTTTCATTCTTCTGAGGCTTTTGTTTAAACTTGGGCCGGGTGGGTGCTGGCCGGCCTTTAGTCTGGGGCTAGTCTGGCTTCACTGTCGAGGCGCTTAGTTTGCTTCTGGGGGTTCATTCTGCTTGAGGCCCCTGTTTAGACCGTCCTTCCACTGGACTGGGAAGGAGCGTGAACTGCTCCTGGGGTGGTTTTGTGAGCGCCTTCCCAGTGGTCCTTGGCCTGGCTCTTTCCTCACAAGCTTGCAGACAAGGCCTCAGTCAGTGGCCCAGGGGACCCCTCAAGGAGAAAGCGGGGTTCTCGCCACACCGCCCTCCTCTCTGCTGCTGTCCTGAGAATCCGAGCCGCCCGCCGCCCTGCCTTTCCTGGGCCTCCCCGCCTCCGATGTCGAGTCCCTCCCTTTGTTTGGCCTGGACACTCACCTTGGGTTGTCCCTTCTCGTGGGGGTCACGGTACCGTGCTGCCTGCTCAGTCTCCAGAACCCGTGTTTCATGTACGGGGTGGGAAAAAGTAGATTTACAGTTGTGAGTATGTGAAACCGAGTTTATTCTTTTGAGTTAATAAAGTTACAATAGTCATATTCTGCATGCCTTTTTCTGTAAGAACAACTATAAACCTACTTTTGCTCACCCCTGCATTTTGTCTGGTTTTCTAGTTTTTGTTTTGTTTTGCTTCCTCCTTTTTCTGATGCAGGCGGGCAAATCCAGTCCCTGTTATTCCACCACAGCTGGAAACTGAAGTCTCTCCCCCAGTATCATCTCCCTTCAGATGATGCCATCTGCTTCCCTCCCCTCCCCCTCCTCACAGGCTCCGCTCCAGGACTACCTTCCTGTGGCAAGAAGCCCGCCCTTGGCAGGGCACCACACCCCTTCCTCTTGATTACTGCCCCCAGCCTGTGACTTCTCAGGACGGCCCTGTGTGGTGCCCACCCCAGCACTGTCGACCTCCCTGAGCCTCTGCTGTGCTGTGGGGCCCGGTGCTCACCAGGGAGGGGGCTGCCCTACTGGGCTAGAAAGTGCTGGAAATGAGCTATGGGAGTAGCGGGCTCCTCTGAGAAGTGTTTGGAGAGGAGGGTGAGGCAGAGCCCTGTGGACCCCTGACACCCTAGGGGCCGGGAGGACAGACATCTGCCAACAGTGGCCTGGGAGCCAGCAGGCAGACCCAGGAAGTGCCGGCTCCAGAAGCTAAAGGAAGGGGTTTGGAAGGTAGGAGTGGTGGAGCGTGATTGACAGGTGCGGGAGAGACCTGCAGGATGAGGCCGGGAAGTGTCTCGGGGAAGGAGCAGCCCATGGCAGACCCGCCCCTGCCGTGGCTCTGAGCCTCTGCAGACGGCCTTGGCCCCCCACCCCCCACCCCCGCCTTCCGTGCTTATTGCCCGCAGACCTTGCTTGTCCTTCAGATGTACAATCCAGTGTGTGTGCCCCCTGCCCCCCGTCCAGGATGGTTAGCTCCTTCCTGCTCTCGGTCCCCGTGGCTCCCAAGCTTCCTGTGCGAGGGCATAGCTACTGTCTGTCCACCTGTGTCCCTGCTGCCTTGTGAGCCCCTTGAGGGGCAGGGCTGCACTTCACCCGTCTCGCTACCACGAGGGCCCGGCACAGCCTCAGGGAGCACGGAGTCGGGGAGAGAGCTCCAGAGCCCTCCCAGGTCTTTGTCTTCCCACCCAAACCACGGCCCCCACACCTGGATCCCACCTGCCGGACTCTGGGGCATGGCGAGGACCTAGCGCCCACTCCCCCCGACAAAGAACCTCAGGAAAGGGGCAGCCCCAGGGGCTTCTGGGGGTTTGGGAGCAGAATCAGGCAGGCAAAGAGTAAGGAAGGAGTAAGGCCAAGCCCATGTCATGGCTGGGGGCCAGCTGGAGAGCCTCTGTCCAGGGCACGTGGGGGGGCCTGTGGCCCAAAAAGGAGCTCTCCCAGTGTGTCTCGTCTCTGCAGACGTGACAGCCTGCACCCGCAAGGCCCCGCACCCACCTCCTCTGCTCCCTCTGTGTCACCCTGACTGTCCCTATCTCTGGGCACAGGTTGATGTCAGTGGAGGAGGAGCTGAAGAAGGACCACGCAGAGATGCAAGCAGCTGTAGATTCCAAACAGAAGATCATCGATGCCCAGGTAGGGGGCTCGGCCCTTTGTTTGGCCATAGGCAGTAAAGGACCTGGGACAGGGAGGTGACTTTGGCTCCTCCATATCAGAGTCATACCCCTCTGCAAACGCCTCAGTGGGCCAGCAGAGCAGGATCCCTGCCCCCAGAAGGGCAGGCTGTGGAAGCGGGGGGCAGCTCCTCCCCACTGGGCAGCTTGGTGGGTGTTGCCTTTCTCCATGGGTGCTGGCCAAAGAGTGGCTCTCTTGGGAGGGGAGCGGGGAGGATGGGGCTGACACAGGCACACGGGGTGAGGGGGAGGGTGGGGGGGCTCTTGTTCAGAGCGTTGCCAGGGCAGACACATTCGAGGCACTGGCCTCCAGTCTCTCCACTCCCCCCGCCCCAGGCCTGATCCCTTGTCCTCTCAGTTGCCCAGGGATAGGGCCGGGCCTTGCTCAGACTATAAACTGCACACACTGACCAGGAGCTGTGGCACCCTGTCACAGGCACTTGCACAGGGCATCTGCCTTGGGGCTCGGGTGGCTGATGGGTGACAGCATGGGCAACAGGTGATGTGGTAGAGACATTAGGAAGGTAGACTCAAGGGGGTCACGGCCCATGGGGGCAGGGCCACCCCTGCGTCTCCCCCAAGCCACCTGCCTCCAGTCCTAGCACCGATGGGTGCGCAGAGCCCCTTTCCCTCCTGTGACCCATGGCACGTCCTCTCTGTGCACAGGAGAAGCGCATCGCCTCCCTGGACGCCGCCAACGCCCGCCTCATGAGCGCCCTGACGCAGCTGAAAGAGAGGTACAGCATGCAGGCCCGTAACGGCATCTCCCCCACCAACCCCACCAAATTGCAGATTACCGAGAACGGCGAGTTCAGAAACAGCAGCAATTGTTAACCTGCCCGAGGAGGGGAGGACTGTGGTGGCCCAGGGCCGGGCCTCGGCCTGGGGAGCAGCACCCCACAGCTGCAGCCCCAGCGCGGGGGGCAAGAGGCCGAGGCTCGTCTCCCCGTGCCCTCCGCCCGCGGCCCAGGAGGCGGCCACAGAGGGAGCCGAGAGACCGACGCTGCGGGAGGCCCCCCTCTTCCGCCCGAGAAGCCAGTTGGGTGCAGGCCGAAGAGACTGCACGCGGGGAGCGGGACAGCCCGGTGGGAGCAGGGGGCTGGCCCAAACGCGGCTCTGTTGGTTATTGAATTTGGTGTGTCACCTTTCCTCCTTGACCTGGCCAAGTGCATGTACCCCCGCCCCCCTTGCTCCCCAGGGAGGGAGCTGCCCACAGAGGTGGGGGATGAAAAGGCTGGGGCCCAGGCTCCCTGGTGGCCAGGCTCCTCCCTGTGGGACCTGCCCCTCAGTTTCAGGAGCTGACAGGTCGCTTGGCAGGCAGGGAGAGGGTGGGGAGGATGGAGCTGCCAGAGGTCTGTGTCCCATGCCCGGCTCTGAGCACCTGCCACTGCATGCAGCCTGCTGGGGACCCTTCCTGCTCTGAGGAACCGAGGATTCACCCGTACCTGTCCCCACACTGCCCGCCTTCCCCTCCCTCTCTTACTTATTCTGCCAAAAAGACCCAGCGAGGCTCACGTCTCTGTCCTCTGGGCCCTCGCACCTGTTGGGAGGATCCAGAGCCTCCCTCACTTGCCACCCGGGCCCAGGCTGATGCTCTGGGGCTCCCGAAGCCAAAGATTCGGGCAGAGTTGGCCCAGACGACACTGTGCGTGCTGCTTGCCCTCCTGTAGCCCTGCAGGGAGTGGCTGCTGGTGCTCACCTTGAGAGAAAGGCTGATCTTTCCTGATTGGTGGTTAAGAAAATTCTAATGCCCACGGGCCCTGAGAATGTGGATAACTGTGATTTTTTTTCCTTTCACAGTATGCATTAGAAACAAAAGCCCGCTTGCTCGCTTGCTGGAACACAGGGGCCTTTTAAATTGAGCGTGCGCACTGCATGGGAAATAGCGGCCCTGGAGGATGTTAGACTTGCTCCCTCTCCAAGACAGCAGCGGCCTGCACCAGGCCCCGTGTGTGCGGCCGGCCTCCTCACCCCTCCCGGGCCCCCAGCCAAGGACCCAGGCGCTGCAGACAGGCGAGGGGCACACCCCGCAGCTGGGGCCGGTTTTCCTCAGCTCTAGGCTGTTCTGTAGCTTTCCAGCCCTCCCCACCCCTACTTGCGGGACATAGGCGGGCAGGAGCTTGGGTCCCTCTGGGTTCCTCCCTGTTCCCAGCCCCAGCCCCAGCCCTGGGTACCGGAGCTGGGGCACTTGCCCTGCAGCAGAGCCAGGGCCAAGCCAGAGCCGCCCGTCCGCCTCAGCCTCGGGCTGCTGAGGAGACCCTTGGGAAGCGCGCTGAGCCCTTCTCGCCCCAGGGGCTGGAGACGCGCTGCCAGAGCCGGGGTTGCCACAGGGCCCGCCAGGAGGGGAAGTGGGGGGTGGTCCCCACCACACTGAACCCCCATCCTGGGCCCGCGCTCAGGGACCGGGCTCGAGATGAAACCTACAGTACAGTTAGGCCAGAGACATGCTGGCGGGGCACGGGCCGCTCCCAGGGGGCACAGGCCTTGGGAAGGACGGCCGTGGGGGCTGAGGCCGTTTTCACTGCTGGTCTCACAGGCAGGGCCTGGCCCCAGTGATGTCCTCTGGTTCAGATTCGTCCCGCACTGCCCAGTGACCCTCCCCTCCCCTCCCCTCTCCCACCGATGCCTCGTAGAGCGATCTCGGACCAATCGCCTCTTAGCAATACAGGGGGAGGCTCCCTGGCCCGACAGCAGGCGCAGGAGGCCAATGCAGTGGCCGGTGCTGGCGGCCCTTGGCTGGGCTGCGAGCTCTCAGGCCGAGAACCTTATATACCTAGTGCAAAAACTGTAAAAGTGTACAGACTCTTCACAGATTTTTATCTGAATTGCAAGTCTGACCATTTTTGTAAATGTTCTTGGTGTTTGACTGTAATGTAACTATTTCACCTGATGGTTGTACATAGTCCTCTAGTCCTGGTGCTGCCGAGGGCTGCCCGGGACCGCTGCTCTCTGAGGGTTTGTATTTTATTTTTTAATCTAGAGAACAGTATTGGGCAGGAAGAAGAGGTTTGGGATTTGGGTGTTGGGGTTCACTCCCTGCCCCTGGCATTTATTTGTTTGCTTTGCAGTGTGCCGTCTGGGTGGGGTGGATGGGACGTGCGTCCTGGCTGGGCCAGCAAAGGGGCCCCCGCCTGGGCCACACACAGCCTGTGTCTCATGCTGGCAGCTGCCTTGCAGACAGAGCCGGGTTGCCGGAGCGCCCACAGGGAGGGGGCGTTGGGGAAGGCACTCTCTGCTCAGGGAGGACCAAGGTCCCAGGCCCAGACCTAGTTGCCGGTGACAGGCTTCCCCTCCTTTGCCAACACAGAGAGGCCTGACTTTTTTGCTTAACTTTTGTGTTTAGGGTGAAGGAAACTGCCAAACTTCCTATAAGTGAAGACTTTTTCCAACTGCCCAGTCAGGGGGGTGGGGAACCGAGGCCAGAGCTCCACGCCCCCCGCCCTTCAGAGCATCTGCCCGGGCTGCGCCTCTCTCCCTCCCACCTGTCCGTCTGCAGAAGGCAGACTGTCCAGGGAAACAACCCCTCTTTTCTACATACTCGGCCCCTAGAGCCGCCCCGGCCCCCACCTCCTTGCCCCCCCCCCCCTTTTGTAAGTATGTGAAAAGGACAAAACTGCAAACGTGGAGTCTTGGCTGGAGCTCCTCCAGCTGTGACTTTTAACTATGTAATAATGTACAGAGAAAGTTGTTGGTGTTCTAAGACTGTGTGGCTGTGCAATTTCTGTACATTTGCAATTAGAAATATTAAAGATTTATTTAGCTATTTTAAGCCTGACTCGCCTCTCCATTCAGCTGGATCTCAGATTTTCCAGGGGTGACTCTTGAGTCATGGGCTGATATTGTCCTTCACTAAGGGACCCAGCACTGGGTTCACCCTGGTGGCAGCTGTAGACTGGGAAGACCCCTAAAGCTGGTGGCAATGGTGGTCTTGGTGCACTGAGAGATGGGACTGCCCCCTCCTCCTCTGGGTGGGGGCCTGTTTGCTCCAGGCTGCCGAGCAGACGAGCTCTAAGGCTTGCCCCCGGCTCAGCCCGCCCGGAAGTGAGGCCCTCGCAGTCCCACAGCCGCCTGGCGGAGAGGCCAGCACTTCCCCTGCAGCAACACCACCTCCGCCCAGCTCTGCTTCGGGTGCTCTCTCATCTGCGGAAGTCTGTCCGCCTGCAGGAGGGACAGGCCCAGGGAAGGGGAGAGGTGGCCCAGGGTCGCCACCAGGTCATGGCAAAGCTGGACTAAATCCAAGCTTCTGATGTCCCACGGTTCCAACTCACAGGGCGCTCTCAAGCCCCGCCCACCTACAAGGCCCATCTGAGGGCCTCCACTGGGAACAGACTGGCCCCCAAGTCCCTTCAGCTGCACCTGTGCACAGAGGACCTTGTGGCTCTGGGTCCTACTCAGTAGGTCCCAGCCACCGCAGAGTAGCACCTGGGGGTCAGTGCATCCGCCTTTGTACAGAGGATTATGGCTCAGAGGGGGCAAGTCCAGGCCCAGCCCAACCTCAGCCACAGTGCCTGGGCCGAGGTTCTGCAGAGGGCAGGGGAACCTCTGGTCGGATCGCCAGGTTGACACCCTGGTCTGCCATCTGCACAGGTGTCTCTGTACCCTGCCAGGGACTTGAGCCTAGCTGTCCGGCATTTCTAGAGAGAAGCCCTAGGGCTGTTCCTGTGCTTGTCCTTGAAGCTAATAGGAAGGCTGGTTTGGGGGCAGGGTAGCCAGATGCTACAGAGCCACCGGCTGGTGCCCATTCTCGCCACCCTGCCCCCTCTCGAGCCTGAACCCTGGGCCCTGGCATAGCTCCAAACCCGTGTCATTCTATTGGGGGGGCTACATCCTGCTCCCCAAACCCATGCTCCTCTTGTAGCCATTAGAACACGCTAACCCCCTAGCCCATCCCCACGCTTCCACTTCTGACTGTGCTCTCCACTCTTCAGCCTGGGGGACCTCGGCCAGCAGCTCAGCACCCTGGCCTCTCGGGGTTCCAGTCTCTAGTCTCCTGTGAGGACCCTGCCTCTGTCACCCCTCCCCAATGGCTCCCATGTCTACAGGCCCATTTCTTGCCAGGCTCCTTGTGTCTTCCCCGCTTCCCCACCTGGCTTAGCCCTGTGTCTCCCTCCTTGGCCCTTTCCTGACCACGTGCTCCGACCCCCTCAGCCCTGGGTCCACCCCATGGCCCCTGCTCTCTGGGCAGCTGAGCACTGCCAGAGAACAAAAATACCGCAGTTCCCTGGGCCCGGGGGTGCTCGCCTCCCCGACCCCTCTCGGGTCTGCTCCCCCATTCGCTGCTTGGACCTGTTCTCAGACTCCCCAGCGGGATGCTTTGCCTGCCTGAGCCGTCCTCCTGCCCCTCTGGGGGTGAAGCTGCCCTCAGTGACCCCCTGACCCTTCCCTGACCCCCGCCAGCCTGGCTACAGAGCCTTTACCCCTGAGGACACAGGAGGGGAGTGGCCCTCTTCCTTCCCGAGGCAGCCAGGCGCTACCCTCTGACCCCTTGCTGCTTTAATTACTCCTAAATCTTCAGCCTAGCTGCTGCTGTTTCCCACAGTGCCAGGTCGTACCCGGCCTCCACGTGCTCCTCACCTGCTGCAGGCTGGGTTTTCTCCCCTCCCCTCCTTTAACCTGTACTGACCCCAGGGACCTGCCATCTCTGCCTTCTCACCTTCCGTCCTTTCCCCAGCTGAGCACCACCTCATTGCCAAATCCACTGACCCCCTTGGTGCCTCTGTACTGCTGTCCCAAGAGCAGGGACTGCTTCCCCTCTGCTGGGGCAGCACCAGGCGATGTAGCATTCAAGGGAGTAGCGACAAAGGGGAGAGAAATAACTCCCGTGGACAGAAGGCATTTATAGCAAAGGTACTACAGCTGGGAGCCTGCACACGTGTGGATCAAGTAGCATAAAATACGAACAAAACCTGGAAATGCAAAGGAACCGACAGAAATACAAATGCATTTCACAGGAACACACCTCCGGTATTAGTTTACTGCAGATGAAGGAGACAATAAGAGCCCAGAGGATTTTAATAATGGATAAGATTTACAAGCAGGTATACGTCAAGCTCTTAATTGAGAGAGCAGCCTTCTTTTCAAGTTTACTTGGAGCATTACCCCAAAGTTGACTATAAAGTAGGATATGAAAACCTCAGAAAGCTGCCCACAGAAAGTTTGGGCCCCATTCTGTACCTTAAAGCAGTAAAACTGGAGATCAATAATAAATGTTTTAATCAGGGGCGAAAAACCCTATCATCAGGAAGTTTAAAAATAAATACCGAATCAATAGAATGAGATTTTTAAAACAAACTAGGCTTCTAGTTAAACAAGGTATATTGTCCTCACCCATCTGCCTCTTTTCCTCCCCAGACACCACTATACTGACAGGAAAGGACTGACAAGATTATTACCTTTAAGGGCAAAAGTCAGGTGGAAGGAGACATCAGTCAATGAGAGAATTTGAAAAGCTTTGGCAGAGGGAAGCTGGTACAAGAGTTGACTCCATTAGCAGAGCAGAGGGAAAGAGAACCAGAAATGAGCTGGTCAGCACCAAGGGCCACCCCATCCCCCAAAGGCTCAGGGCAGGGAGGCCCAGTCCGACAGTAGGCAGAGCCAGGACACCAGGTTGGACATCAGGGAGCCGGACCCCAGCCTCCTGCCCCTGCTGTGCACAGCCAGGAAACTTCCTTACTCCTCACTTCCTTATAAGGAACTTGACATTGATTCTCTGGAGCAATCTAACCAATTATACTTCAGACTTGGGGACACCAGGGAGAGCAGAGGCCTCTGTGAGGTGTGGGGAGGACAGCTGGTGGGAAGGGGTAAAGCAAGCGGCTGCTTTCCTCTATGCCCCTCCCCACAGTGCCTTCACTGCTCCCAGAATGCCCAGCGCCAGGCGTCTTTCCCCCCGGGTGACTTAGTGGAACAGACGTGTTTGGAAAAACTCACGTCTGTGAAAAGACCTGCAGGTATTTCCCCAATGCAAAGGGTACATAACTGTCTCAGCATCCCATAATGATCCCCACCAATTGACATGTTCTGTGCGTCTGTATACACTTGTACAAAAGCACAGACGGCCAGTTCTCGGCCCTGTCATTCAGTTGAGGAAAGTGTCCAACAAATAATAGAAACTAGGTGTGAATTTCCCAGGCCTCTGCTTCATTAGTGGCAATAAAATCCCCTATTTACAAATGTAACACCTCAAAACAATAAAAAATAAAAAAGCAAACTTCACCCATGAAAGGGAAAAGCCAAATCAGCCTAAGAAAGGAAACAGGAAATAGAGATAATGCAGGAAAGAAAAAAGCATTTTAAAAAAATAACTCCAAACTATAATAGCTTCAAGGATATAAAACAAGAACAGGTTACTTTGAAAAAGAAACCAAGATCAAAAAGAGCTCTTGACTCCTTTTTAGATTTTTTTTTTTACAAAAATAAAACATCCAGTAGAAGTGTTGGAATACCAAATTGAGGCTTTCTTCTAGAAAGTAGAACAAAATATACAAATAGAGAACGGGAGAGAGGGAAAAAAAAATACGAAAGGCTCAATCCAGGCCGTCCAACATCCAACTATCAGGAATTCCTGAAGGAGGGAAAAGAGTAAAAGAAAATGATGAAAGGAATAATAAAAGGACATTTTCCAGAGCAGCAGGAAGGTCCCCAGTGTCCAGGGTGAAGGAGCAGAGGAGGAAAGACCCCCTCAAAAGGCACAGCATTGCCAGTTCCCCAGCTCGGCCAGGGCTGTGCTGATCCGCGCTAACCTTAGCCGGGAGCCCAGGGGAGGGGAAGGGAGGGGAGGCCAGGTACGCGAGGAGCTCTTGGGGAACGATGGCCCCAGAGAGTGAAGAGGGACAGATGTTCCTGAGAATTCCTGGTGGAGCGTCTCGGTGAGAGATCCCGTAAGAAAGGGCGAAGTTACAGTGAGACCAAGCAGCGTGATGGTGTACTTTTCTCTGACCGTGGCCAAAACTAGCTAGCGTCCTACAGGGCCATGAAACCATAGGCAACGGAGTTGCATCCCTACTGCCAAAAATCTACAAGTTAGCATGTAACTTCATGTCCTGCACGCGTACATACCTAGTAAATGTATATAGACGTAGAGAGATGTGTTCTCCCCCGGTCCTGATGCAGTGGTCCTGGGGCAGGCCTTTGAGGCAATATTCCAGGAGGATGCTGGGATGACAAGCTGTCCTCCTTTTGCCTTAGTTCCAAGTTTTGGGTGATACGTCTGAATATTCCCTGACAGCGTACCACGGTCACAAAGCAGGAGGCCTCCGTCACCTGGCAGGCAGTGTGAGTGACTGAAGCAGACCCACGGCAGGTGACACTTGGACGCAGTGTCGAGAGGCTATAGGGAGAGGCGGGGGTTGGGGTGAACTGAAGAGCTAACACCCTTCCTGAAGGCCTGGTTCCCCCTCCACAGCAGGGACCAGAGCCTGGGACTCACAGCCATCTGTTCTCCCCTATCTGACCCCTGACATTTTTATACCCAGTTGCCCTGCTCCCTGAGCTCCACACTCACAGCCACACACCCTCTCAACATCACTGCTTGACATCAAGTCTCATGTGTCTGAAATGGAGCTCTGGACTTTGCTGACCCTTAAACCTGTTTCTCTTCTCATCTTCCAACCCCCTGCCCCCCAAATAGCTCTACCGTCCTCCCAAGCGCTTATGCCAAGAGCCAAATGTGAGTTCT